ATGAGGGCCCGGCGAACCTCCCGGCCCCCGGGCCGATACGCCCGCGAGACCATGTTGATACGGCGGGGCTCGGAGTGGTCAGCGGTAAATTTTATACACACCGAATTTATAAACACCACGCAAAAAAATTAAGAAGATCTAGACCGCAAAATAATTAAACAAGCGAGGTGCCCTCATGTTTTCCTGCGGCCTGAAGATCAGGTTCCTTGAACCAACCACGAGACCTAACGTGTCAGTCACGTGGGCTATATGCTCTCGTTCAGACAGGGGTGCAGTTCTGACGGAGCCTCCGCCCACCAGAACGCTCGCTCCCGGCACTTTCCAAAATTGCGAGCACCCATAAGCGAGCTCGGCCTACACATGCCGCAGTTTGTGTGTGGCCTGCTGTCTTTAAGTTGAAAGCCCCTGCGTGGCGATCTGCTCATCTGTCATACTGATCATACAGTCTAATAACTTTGTTGTTATTAGGTTAAAGCTATGCTAACGAATATAAGAAGACTTTTTCTTAAGCCATTGAGGTAAAGGCACATATTTATATGATCATTATAGTTATAAAAAAATAAGAGAATAAAGTAAACAGGTATAAAATACTATATGACAGTAAAAAAAAGTTGTTATTAATAAACAAGAATACAGTTTGAAAGGGGAGTGATTTGTAAATATATCCATAAAGAAAAAGAAATCTGCTTACAGTTCTGTTTCATATGGGTGTTGAGAGATGTATCCATTGATCTCTTAATGTTGCTCTCAAAGTGCACCAGATTGATGCTTTTAACTTCAATATTTAAAAAAAAAATCTTCCCGGGAGCATGCCTCCGGACCCCCCAAGAGGAGGTGAGGTCCCGTCCCCCCCCCCACTTAAGACATGTCCACATGGATAGGAAACTAAATAGATTTGCACACATCTTGTGTCCATATCTTTCGGTTTTGGTGGTCATTCCACAACCGTGCATGTGCATGTATGCGCGGGTCATGGTAAAATATCTGGATTAAGAGGTTGCTTTTTCTTTGCACAGCATGAAAGAAAGGCGAAATGAATGGGCTGTGATTTTTGTATTTTTAAGCAGAGGTCAATAATTTGTACGGCCCTCGGAGGATGTTGAAAAAATTGAAATGGCCCTTGAGAGGAAAAAGGTTCCCCACCCCTGATCTATATGATGTCTAACTTTGTTCTGCCTGTGTGCAGCACAGTAACATGTGTATCATTCTAAATCTGAATGTGTGTGTGCAGCTGGCTGGTGGTGAAGGACTCGTGCCTGCTCTACATGAAGCCGGAGTCGGGGGCCGTCTCCTTCGTGATGCTGTTCGATAAAGAGTTCAGCATCAAGATGGACTCCAAAGACACGGAGACCAAACACGGAATCCGCATCGACGGTCTCTCCAGGTCTGTGAAACATTTACTTTATTATATCTGGTACTTTAAGTCACTTTTATATACTAATATAAATATATAATATATAAATGAATAGCTCTTTATCGAACTCCAGGAAATGGCTTCAGACACATTTGTTTTGAAAAGTTACTTTAATCTTTCCTTAATTTATCCAAACTTCCTTTAAATGTCTGATGGATAGGGAACGGTTTTACTGGAAGAAGAGGTCTGTGTATTTCATTTAACATACTAAATACTAAAGCTAAATAGAACACACCAGTGATGACCTTTCAAGGGCATTTTATGTATTTTCTAGGGTCTGTAAATCAACTTCTAAAGAAAGCCGTTAAGAAATACAATAATATTGATTTGCTCAATCTTAACCCGATAATTTCGTATGACCAGCAAAACGACACAAAATGAAATCTATATTAACTTTTTCTTTGTCCAAAGAACTACAGCAGGTGATATTCTATTTCACAATCATCATTTTCTGATAGCAACAGGGAACATAGCTCATTTGTGTCAATAGTGACTAAAGAACAACTCTTTTGCACAAATGCTAATGTGGCTTTATCAAAAATATTAGAATTATAAATGTGTGTGTGTGTTCAGATCTTTGGTGTTGAAGTGCAGCAGCTACAGACACGCCCGCTGGTGGGGTCAGGCCATCGAGGCCTTCGTTAAGAAACACGGCACCGCCTTCCTCACCGACCACCGCTTCGGATCCTTCGCCAGAGAAGAAGTAAACATCCCGACTAAATGGTAACCACGGAAACTGTCACACTATCTCTTTGATAATGTGTTTTGATGTAAATGAGGAAAGCACCTGTTGTCTATGTTTTGATGTTGTGGGATTTAAGGTTGTTTACACACCCATTTTGGGTTAGATTAGCCATTTTGGGTTAGATTAGCCTAGATCGGAATCTGGATTTTATTTAAAAAATCAGGTCACCTTTTGTTTGGTAAATTGATGCTACTTAGAGGCAGGCATCGCAGCCAGATGTTGCTAAAGTCTAGACGAGGCCTGGTTTAGTTGGCAGTGTGTTTGTGTGTGTGTGTGTGTGTGTGTGTGTTTTTCGCTAGAGTAACCCGACACAAAGACAGGGAAAGTGAGCCTCACCGGCTCATCACCTGTCTCCCTGCTGGGCAACACTATACAGTCTGTGAGACTGTGTGTGTGTGTGTGTGTGTGTGTGTGAGTGTGTGAGCTCTACCATTAAAAAGCATACTGAAAGGAAAGTAGATGGATAGATAAAAAATTGAGAGGTGGCAGACGTATGACACCAAACTCGGGTCATTATTGATAATTTTATCTGGTGAAATGTTGAAAAATTATTTCACCTCCTGCTGTTTTATATCACAGTTTGTGTGCAGGTGCTAAAGAGTGCGTGCATCTATCAGAATGTGCACATTTAAAAGAACATTTGATATTTTGTGATGTTGTATTTGCTTTTGTTTTTCTTGCTGTCTAAAGGTGTGTGGCTCAAAATGTGGATATGTGTGCACGTGTAAATGTGTGTGTATGTGTCCTCTACAGGTATGTGAACGGAAAATCATACATGGAGGACGTTGCAGATGCTCTTGAAGAAGCCAAAGAGGAAATATTCATCACAGACTGGTGGTGTGTGTGTGTGTGTGTGTGTGTGTGTGTGTGTGTGTGTGTGTGTGTGTGTGTGTGTGTGTCAGGGTGCAGTGAGTGCACTTGGCGGTCACCTCTTGTGGAGGTCTTCTGGTCAAACAGATCAGTTACCGTCTGAGGCTCAGACTTCTGTTATACTAGTTCACACACACAAAGACACACAAATGCTGAACACACACCTACATACATACATTTAATTACTACATGCAAAGTGTGAGTATTTTTAAATGATTGTGAAAAACAATTATTTAAAATCAAACTCTTGCAATCAGATTAACTTAAAGTAAATGTTTATTCAAATTGTTAGAATTAAACTGTACTTCAGTGTCCAAAACAGAAAAGCAGAGTTTTGCTGTTGGATAAAAGCGATTATAAAGTGTTATAAACTGTGAATGTAAGTGAGCACAGTGTTTGATCAATCAAATGTACTGTGGCTGCAGTCGAATAGTCCAAAAATCAGCTCCTAACGTCCTTGACCTCTGTGTGAAACGTCACGGGGTTAAGGAATAGTGGATAGGAGAATTCAAAAGGATTTAGGAGAAGAGACAGCAGTACTTTAGAGAATCCGACTGCACTTTCACCATCCGACATATTTATGATGCGCCGGTGGACGTTATAAATATGCGTCTGCTGCTGTGGGGAAACTATGGAAACTACAGTTTTCTATACAGCGGAGTGAGCGGACTACATGGATGTATAATAAGAACGGCAGACGCATCTAGAGACTCTGCACCGCGCTCTGATGGTGTTGTTTTATGCTTTATGAATGTGGACAACAGAGAAACATAAATTCTTCATGAAGGAGGTTGTAATTGAAAAAAAAAAGGGAAACTTATGCTCGTCACCCTCTCCCTCCGATCCACATTAATGCAAATGATCCCCATACGTATGATTGTATGAACTATGAAAAGATCTTAAAATAAATACAAATGTATTTATTATAAACGTTAGTCCTTAACATCTATCACTGTGTATATCACCATTCAAACATCTTTTAAAAGTTGAACAAACCCCACACAGCTCAGTGAAATGTTGACTTTATTTGATCATTTCAGTAAAAACTAACGTTCATATTTCTCTTTTTGATTATAATACTGATGAACGTTCAAAACAAAGCACTTTGGCAACTTACCACATATGTTTTAAAATGCTTAATAAGCACCGTAACTTTCATGATATAATTTCTCGGTCATAATCGGTTGTTTCCGTGAACGGCCGACTGTTGTGTGACGGCAAATGCTACGGCCGCAAGGCATTGTGGGGCAGCATTTTCTCCTCTCCTTTCGGTTAGGGAGGTCCAGTGGTTCCTAAGCTAAAGGAGATTATAAAGGAAGTTTGAAACCTCCTTTCCTATCATCTCTAGAGAATTCGAACGGCTCTTTTCATGGCTGCCACTGAAGTACTTCCGGCTCCTTTCACTCCGTTAGGAAGGATCCTAAGAGAAACTGACAATTCGACTGCAGCCTGTGTCTCATTTCTTGTTGTCATTATTTAATGATGAGACTTTATAATCTAATTTTCACATAGTTCTGATCATTTTCAAATGAGAACTCTGAAGGTCACCCTAAATGATTTGTTTCAATAATCAATGTAATACAATCCCTGTGATATTAACAGATGTTTCAAACCTGCCAGCAGCTGTTGACCTTTAGAAATATTGCAAGTGAGTGGAAATAAAGTCTGAATTTATATGAATACAGAGTGCGTTTTTCTACAGGTTGAGTCCAGAGATCTTCCTGAAGAGGCCGGTTGTGGAGGGAAACCGCTGGCGTCTGGACTGCATCCTGAAACGCAAAGCGGTGAGCAAAAAACTGCATCTTCCTGTCCCCTAACCAAAGAACACCTCAAAAAACTTCATTAGAATCCAGGATACCCCAAATATTTTTTAATATACGAATATTGTTTGTTAAGCTTCCTGTTTGTGTTTCCACAGCAACAAGGTGTGCGTATCTTTGTGATGCTGTACAAGGAAGTGGAGTTAGCTCTGGGAATAAACTCCGGATACAGCAAGAGGACGCTGCTGCACCTCCACCCCAACATCAAGGTGAGCGTCACATTTATCACACGGAGCAAATGTCAGTAACATGATATTCCCCGTGATAAATCAATAATTCTGATTCAGTTTTAAACACACTACTTTAAAAGTCCAAAAACAAAAGTTCATATTTTCTCTATAGGTGATGCGTCACCCGGACCACGTCTCCTCGGCTGTCTACCTGTGGGCGCATCACGAGAAGATCATTGTGGTCGACCAATCGGTGGCCTTCGTGGGAGGGATCGACCTGGCATATGGTCGCTGGGACGACAGGGAGCACAGGCTGACCGACGTTGGGAGTGTCACACTCTCACACCAGGTACACACACACACACACACACACACACACACACACACACACACACACACACACACACACACACACACGCACACACGCACGCAACACACACATATACCTGCATTGATTTTCATTTCACTTCTTTGAAACACATTTTTAATGTTTAACTTATTTTTAAGTTCAGAAGTCTAGTTCAGTTATATTTTTCACATACATTTAAGTAAATAATTAAACCATGATTCATATAAGAATAAATAAATGAGCATCTTTTTTAAAGTCTCCATTCCCCTCTATCCCCTCTATGGCTCTAGTGCCCTTATTTTGATTCTTAACCCGGATTGAGCCAAACCTTTCTGTACCTTGTTCCCAGGCTGAAGCGGCCTCTCCAAACATGGCTGCTCCAGCTAACGGCAGCGGCGGGGGGGCTCCCCAAAGTAACGGGAAAAACATTTTCACGGTGACGGACTCTGTGGACCAGCCCCGGCTGAAAGGGCAAGGCAGACTGAAGAGGACGAGGTTCAGCATCCGGAGACACCTGCAGAAACACGGGCTGGCCTCGGCAGACAGCGACAGCGACCTGGAGGACGAAGAGAGTGAGTGCAGCTATTGATTATTATTATTTATTAAGGTACGAGCACCAAGACGGAGGATCCCTTTTGAAATGATAGGAGTAATTATAGGTATTACTATGAGTATCATTATTCTTTATGTCCTTTGCGCTCTAATGAATTTAAAAATGATGCACATGTTTTTTCCGTCAGGTCTTTTCTGCTGTCTTAAAACAAATAAAATAGCTTAAAATAGCTTTCTAATTTTATGAAACTTGGTGGAAGTGTGTGTAAGATGTGGGTGTTGCGCGCGGCCGCTGTGTTCAGGTTGGTCCCACAGCGTCAGCAGCCATCACGCTCTGATCCACGGCAGGACGGCCCCCCCCGCCCTGGGTCCGGCTGGTGAGTCGCCGGAGGTGGAGGCACATTTTTACCGTTGCCCTCCCAGCATGCTTTGCTGTGGTCTTGATCTGGATTGAACAACTTTTGAATCCCTCTGTGTGTGAGTTTGGTGATTTTTTTTTTTTCCGCCCAAGGTCGATTCAGAAAGTGATTCAATATGGGCAAGAATTTGGGCAAGTCGATGACAAAGCCTGATAATCAAACTCAACTACATTTTGTTTTCACATCTTTGTGTATTATTTACGCAAAAAGTTTGAGGCGTAAATCTGTAATTCTATTAGTTTACCAACAGAAAATGAATAGACCCACATTTGTATAATCTAGTCATTCATTTAAGAATTTTAGTCAAGCAGGATGTGAGGAGTTTCTGCTTTTTATTATTTCCATTCTAATAGAAAGTATTGCACATACCTAAAACAGATCTGTGTTTTGATGAGATTCTGCAGCTGGTCTGTGCTGCAGTAAAACATTTGTTTTAGCTGCTGTTTGTTTACTCATCTCTGCCTGTGTGATAGATGGGAAGTGTCAGAGATGAACGTGAGGCAAACAACCGTTGCTAAAAACTAAAAGAAGTCACCCTGAAAAAACCCTTTGTTTTTGTTCTGTACTTTGACTGAAGTTACTTAAATCATTTGTGTTATTGATTTAAGGTGAGTCAAATGTGTGTAATTTGAGTAGAGTGTATGTCTCTGCATGTCCTCTCTTCTCTCCAGTTGCTGTTTTAACATTTGTTAATGTGCTGTCGAAAAATATTCCAAACACAATACTTGTTAGTTGATAAATGAAGTGTAAATAAACAATATGACCATCATTTTTGTCCAAGTTTAACCTCGAATGAGGATACAAATGCACCAGAGATCCACATCAGAAACGATTGATTTCATGCTTTTGTTATTAATAGTCGTTCCACACTTAAAACTCCCAAAGCATGTTGTTTACATTTGAGGCTTTATTTTGCGAATAGATTTCCAGGGTCATTTACTGAGATTATTCAAAAAATTTTTGAAATATCTCTTAACTAATTCCTCCCATAGACTATTTTATACTCAAATATTGTTTTAAAATCTGTAAAATTGAAATAAATTCTGATCAAATATCAATATTAACACTATTGACAGTAGATACTGCAATCTAAAGTGCTATATTTTAGTTATATTTTCAGTTTACCTCTGATATTCCCCTTAGTAAGTTGCACTTACAGCAGGAACTTTAAGAGGAACTAAAACTCTGAGTAGGCTCATTTATTTAAAGAGATTTCTGCTGATAAATAACTGAAAATGTAATGTGTGTGTTTCAGTCAGCGGCTCGCAGCGCAGTCTGCACACGGGCGTCGGGGAGTTATTCGGAAACACGCGCTTCTGGCACGGAAAAGACTACTGCAACTTTGTGTACAGGGACTGGATTCAGCTGGAAAAACCTTTCGATGGTGAGAACATCGTCAACCTCACATTTATGACATTAAAACTACAGAAATGTCCTCCTCACATCCGTTTCTGCTGTTTCAGACTTCATAGACAGACACACAACTCCCAGAATGCCTTGGCACGACATCTCCTCAGTGGTCCACGGGAAAGCAGCTCGAGACGTGGCCCGACACTTCATCCAGCGCTGGAACTTCACCAAGGTCAGAGGTCACGCTGATGTTGTCCCATCATGCTCAGGAATACATTCACAAAGAATGGATTGCAATATGTATGTGTACATTTTGGATTTTAATGTCCCAGTCTCTCAGTCACTTATAATTTAACTAAATGCGGTGATAAAAGCTGATCTTTGTAAATTGGACTCTATTTGCAGTGAGGCTTATTTGCATCAAAATATGTCATTTTTTCTCCATTTGCCTACATATTACCTAAATTAAGTACGTGCAAATAGAACGGGAGCACCTAAACTCAAGTTGTTTTGCGGTGTGCATTTCATTTCCTGGGTTTTACTCTTTCCTCTGTTTCTCTGGCAGATTATGAAGCCGAAGTATCGCTCTCTGTCGTTCCCGTATCTGCTGCCCAAATCTCACACCACCGCCGAAGAGCAGCGCTACCAAGTACCCAACTGCATCCCCTCTAAAGTGCAGGTGAGGAAGAGTTCTACCTGGAGATTTTAGCTGTTTATATCACTTGATTAAAGTTGACTTTGACTGTGTTTCAGTTTTATACTACATTGTAGGGAAGCTTTGGAAGTTTATTTGGATAAAAGCATCTGCTAAATGTAGTGTAAGTTTGTTTTAGTGTGCAATTTGTCTTCACTGGTTACATGACAAAATCCTCAAAGTTGTCAGTATGCACACCAAATCCAATATGCAATAGTACAGGGTCAAACACAAACATTTTGTCTAAAATGAAACTCGATCCAACTTTCCTCTAAGCAAAGAAAAAGTTAAACATTTTGTAAACAAAATAATGTTCACTAAAAACACAGATCCTATTACTTCTTCCTCCAATTAATTAAATATTGCACATGCTCCAGAGATGGCAGAACATATGTTTTTGTATTACCCTCAGATCCTACGCTCAGCCTCTGATTGGTCGGCTGGCATCAAGAACCACGAGGAGTCCATCCACAACGCGTACGTGCAAGTCATCCTGAACAGCCAGCACTTCATTTACATAGAGGTACTTTCTGTTCAAATGTAAACAAAATATCTAAGCTGCTTAACTTCTGACACCAAGTCATTTTCTACATTTCATACAAACGATGAATTTAAAATTTAGAAAAGCAATGGAAAAATGTACTTCTGTCTGTCAAACCTTATGCATTTTTTTAAATGTTGCAGCATATGAATGTGTTTTGAGCACATATAGAAAGGTAAGTTCTTGTTTGTTAATACAGTGGTTCCCAACCTGGGGGGCGCTCCCCCCTTGGGGGG